TCACTCTTTTAATAGATTTAATTCGTCCGAACACGAACGTTGACGGCGTAGCCGTGTAAAAATTCGAATCGACCACACCGAGCTATTCTTTCTTATTTATAGACTGGTTTCTCTTTCTCTCTCTCTCTCTCTCTCCCTCCTTCTCTCTTCCGGACGGCGGTACTCGAGGGGTGTAGCCGCGAGAACGTCATGGACATTTTAATGGGTAACGGCGGTGGCCTCTAATTAGAACGTTTCGACCGTAACCGCGCCATTACGGTGGAAAACGCAGACTCGTCAGATCGATGAGGAATATTTATCGCGGTGTAACAATTACGGGAGCTCCGACATAGCGCGAATAGTAATAGGCCGGTCGGCCCCGGGGACCGGCGCGCTCTCTTTCTCTCTCTTTCTCTCGCTCGTACGCGCGGCGAACGACTGTAATTAGGGCTTTTATTGTCTGTACATAAGGAAGCTTTATGAAAACATTAAGGATATAATTCAAGGCCGGGCGAGGCTCCGCGGCGCGCTCCGCGCTCCGCCGCGTGGATCGCACTCGAGACTTTAATGCATAGGAGACCGCGCTGCGTCATTTCCGTTTTGCGTATGCACACGCACGAGGACGGCGATGGCGTGAGCGCGCTGGGACTGCCTACTACCTGCTGCTCTCCCCGCCGGACGAGCGGTGTAATTTGATTTCTGGATTTTTCAGCGTGCCACATGATTAAGCTATTTTCGAGACGGAGAGAGATAGCGCGCGACTGGTGGACGGTAGCGCGCGTGTAACGCCTTCCACGTCTCGGATTTATGTTCCCTCGATTGTTCCTTTTGTCTCGACGTTTCTTCGAACTTGCTCTCGAGTCATTCGAATGGAAAGAAATATCAATGATTTTCTCGTCATCGTCACGACTTGCGACCGACGGACGGCGACTCTGACACCTACCTCTGCATTCTGCAATTGCGAGTGCAGAAGAAAAGCACGCGATTTATACGTCAGACGACGGAGAGACCTCTTACGTTTCAGGATTTCCAAGCCGCGCGCTTGTAATCGCGATCGGGATCCGCGTTGGAGGATTCGCCTAAATCACCGGGCCGCGCGCCCGTCCTCGCCCCTCGAGATTCTCCTATCCGCGGGATCTCGGATCACGATCGATCCGGGCGAATCGATACCGGGGCGAGCGCCCACTCGCGGAACTCGGCTAATAGAGTTCGGGCCCTTGACAGCGATATTTCACGCGAATGAGAAGAGGAATGGCCGCAGACGGACGCGCTGGTGTGTGGTCCGGCACGTCCGAGTAGACGGCGATTAGCCCCAGGGCCCCCTCTAATCCCTCCCTCCCTTTCCCCGTGGTTGGTTTCACCCTCCGGGACCCGGGGCTTCTTCCTCTTCCACCGGTCTCTTTTCCGCTCGAGGTTTTACCCTTCGCACGCACTCGCATGCACGTCCGTGTGTGTGTGTGTGTCTGCCTCCTCGCGCGCCTCCTCGGGTGTCGTGTTACGTGCTAAGCGGTACAGCCGAGCTCGGTAACCGAGACGCGCGAACTGCACACCGGACCCATTGTTCCTGGAGGCCCCGCACGCCTCTCTTCCGCTCCCGCAGTCACCGCCGCTTCTTCGTCCTTCCCCGTTCGTCGCGCTCGTGTCGGACTGCTCGCGAGCGGGCTCGCGTCGGCTCCGCCGTCAAGCTTCCTCACCGAGCCGATTGGATATCGATACCTCGTTCGAATATATCGTAGGCACCGGCTGTGAATATTCAATAGCTAGCCCATTGCGATTTTATAGAGAATACATACGCGATCGTGTTAAGATAGAAATGTTCTTTCACCGAATGCGACTTTATTTGTAATAATACATTTAGATTCATGCCTCAGTTGCTATGTCTGATTTTCAATTCTTTAACTAAAATTTTTGTTCGTTAAAATAAACAAATAAATAATGTAAAATAATGAGGTGTGTTGTTATATTTGATGAATAAAAAGTGTACAATTAGCTTAATTCAGTGTACAATTAGCTTAATTCAGTGACGCGTTAAAAAGATGAAAGATATAAACATTGCATGTTAAAGCGTTGCAATCGTCGCAAATTTGTCGTTTACTATATTTCGTCGCGACTCGTTCTCGAATTTCTGTCCCGAAAACAGGTCTTATGTCTCGCATTCACTGACTTACACTTCTAACACACAATTCCTAATCAGTTTATATCGTTTTTCCACTTTCAAAAAAGGCATGTAAGGTCGATATTCGAATGTATCGAAAATCTCGAAAGTCTCGAAGTGTATTGTTGACGCTTTTCCGCGACGCTGATTGGTTATTTCGATTATTTTGACAGTTTGATAGTTTGACAGCGAAGGTTATTTTGAAATTAAAAAAAATTTAATTAAAATATTTAGATTTGATAATTATTAAATTATTACAATAAATGCGCGCGCCTGTTCTAGTCGTTTAAAAAAATCTCTTATACAATATCACGCTAATAAATTCAGGATACTTTAGTGTGCGTTTGAAATCATTGCGATTGAGTCCCTTATGGCAGACTTTATTTCTCGCAACCCTTTTATTTCTGGAACTCACCGGAACTCACGCAGTCACGGTAGTTTTGTCTCGCCCTCGCACCGCGATTTTACGACTATATGAGTCGAGGCTTTCGCCGTCGACGGTTTGGAACTGCCGAGCGAAAGGCTGACCCTTCGCTCCTTGCTTGGGTGTCGCCCGCCCCGGTGACCTCCGGGTAACGAGACCCGCGAGAGCCAGTCCCCCGGCGCCGGTCCATGGGGACAGAATCATTACGGAGTCCTGTCGGGATTGAATTGTACAGGCCCGACGACGTCGGTCGCGCTCGAGATGATGAAGTGCTTCATAGTCGCGCGAAATATGCCATTAAATGACGGCCGCCTCGTACGATATTAATTATTTTTCGAAGACTCGTTTCTTCATTGTTCTTTCTATAATTTTGTACAATTTCATGCGGTTTTGCACAATATTTTTTTTATATATTTTTTTTTAAATCTTCAAACTGTAAAGATTTACCGTGTTTTTTGAAAATTACAAGCTTTATACACAAGAATCATTTCGAATTAACGACGCGATGTAAATAGAAGTAAGGACAAGCATATATCTTTAAGAATCTTTCCGTTATGCATGAGCCCTGAATTATTTCGATATACGAAATGCTGAGTTATTGAACGCCGGTTATGAAAGGCGTCTTCGAATATCACGATGCCGGTTCGCGGAACTGGATGATCGATAGGAGGTATCGTTCGTGGGCGGCCCGTGCTCAAATTATCCGACAAGATACTAGTATCAAGTTGTCTCTCAACCACTTGACTTTCGAGAAGCGTGTGAAGAGCTGGCAGCCATCCATCCACGCAGGCTGCGTCTTAAGGTTTAAAACCAAACAGGCAAAACGCAATTCTTCAAACGTTGAAGAACGATAAAAACACATGGGATATTTTCCCGGACATGGTTATTCAATATTATCTCGAAATAAAATATCAAATCGGGTTGCGATGTATTGAGTGTCTCGGAATAATATGCTTAAGAATATCTTTTCCAACGTTATCAGTGTGTATTACTAAATTAGTCTTCATTCATAAGCAATCGAGTTGACTTGCTACTAAAAATTATATAATTCAAGAGCGGAAATACGAAAAAGCGCCTTTCAAGTCCCAGATTCTTATCTTATAACTTCCGTTCTTAAAGTCTTAATAATGCCGAGAATAAAACGTCGTTTTATCGCGGACGGAAACTCAAACGGGTAAAACTTATTATCGCCTAACGAAGCTAATGAAGCGAATTATTGATTCGAAATTTGCTAATCGTTGACTCGTGCGCTTTAAATGATGGAAAACGATCGCGATTGCCCGCGGGCCGCGTTGTGAGTTCGTCAAACATTCGCTTCTTCGGGCCTTTGCGCAATCGGTCTTACCTCGACGAGGCCTGAAATCGTGAAAGCGATTAAAAAGAGAGTCCCCCGTCTCGCCGCCGATTCGCGGTATCGTAATGAAGTCTTAATAATTGAGATAGTCTCGCCGATAATCGGCGTGTCCTTACACGCCGCTCCCGCGCGTAATCACGAAAGTAGGAAGTGACTCGCGCGCAATGCGACTCCGTCGTTAATTATCGGCGTGAAGAGGGGTGGGGGGAGAGAAGGAGGGAGAGAGATAGCAAAAGACACACGCAGAAGGATCATCTCGCCGTTCGCGACGGTGTTTTCATCCGCGATCAGCCAATAATCCGCTCGTTAGCGTTTAGTAACGAAGCAACGAAGGCGCACAATCGCCCGTAATTAACCCTAATTAAGCCCGCGCCTAACGCACGAAATCATCCATCATGTTTGTCGAGGGGGAGGTAAGCGGCGGGCAGGGGAGAGAGATTCTCGCGACCATCGTTTTTCCTCTCCCCGCCGCAGTCGTCTCTATGAGAGGAAAGCTCGTCTTAATTATCCGCCATTCTCTCTCCGTCTATCGACTACGTCCGTGAAGGAATCTCATTGATTCACTCCCATTTAAGCGCTATTAATGCCGATAACGTCGATCGATTAATCAGCCGAGTGCCGCCTCTCGCTCGCCTTAAGCGCGGGACGATTTTATCTCGCGTTGTCTCGCGTTCCGCGCGGCCGCGAAGGATTCGTTCGCTCGCACGGCCCCGCGATCTCCGCCGTTTTAGCGCGGCGCAAGCGGCGCGATCCGTCGGGCGTAAGGATCGCGACCTCTCGACACGACAGCGCACGGCCGTTCGATTCTCCGTCTTCGGCATCGCGATAACCGAGCGGGGGCTCTCTCTTGCTCTCGGAAAGTATATTTGTGCTTCGCATTTACATAAATCTATCCGACGGCTCCATTAATGTTATTAACGACGCGATGGAAAGACTTCTCTCATCCAGCAAACTGTAGCAAAGTTTTGCGCCGCACGCTCTGCACATTGTACTTGTGTGTGCATTTTCTGTTTTTCTGCGCTTGGTTGTTTATGAAAATGAGTACCTTATCGCACCGTTGACAATCCTCTCCCTCTTGATTGTTCCAGCGATCCCATGGAGCTCATGGAGCAGCAATTAGTGAGATGCGGCGTCGCGCCGGTGAGATTGTACGAACATCTCGCCATGTCGACGCCAGTCGCGGTGGCGGCGGCCGCGGCCGCGGCGCTTGGCGCCCAGCAGCAACAGCAGCAGCAACATCAGCAGCAACATCAGCAGTCGTCCGCGCAGCAGCAGCAGCAGCAACAGCACGAGAACGGCGGGCACGCGTTACCGCCCTGGCTATCGCCGTCGGCGGCGCTCCTGTACGGCACGAGGGGTGCCGCCGGCTCGCCCTCGCCCTATCCTGCCGTTGCGGCCGCCGCCCCCGGCTTCCCGTATCCGGCGGCGCTGCCGTGGCCCTGGCAACCACCGCCCCCCGTCGCGATGATCTCGCGACGGTCCTCACCCCCCCACCGCGGCCGGTCTCAGGTACGCGCCCTACCCGACGGCTAGCACACCCCCGCCGCTGCGGGCACGCCCGTCCACCCCCAATTAGCGATCCCCGCTGGCGCTGGCGACTCAGCGATCGCGGCAGCATCGTTCCTTCTCCCTCTGTCTGTGATCGCGGAACCGGCGACCGGAACCGGAACTGATTGTCTCGACGTGTTTGCACTTCGGACGCGATGTCGCGCGCGCGTTTCGTCGCGAACGGATGATATGGAAGTAAGTGACATCTTGTTGCAATTTGAGGTTTTATAACAATGGGTGAAATTGACATTTTATAGTGATGAATTAGAATTGCAGATTCAGGACTGTAACGCATGAACAAACATAAATAATAAGACTTATGTTAGGGATAGAAGCAAATCGACTAATTAGCATCGAAAGAATCTCGACTCTTGACTTCATGATTTTAATATTGATGGAAATTTGCTCGATTTTTCTTGTTTTTTGGAAATTCTTATTGCACAAGTCTTATTGCTTACATTTTGTATGTGCTATCGGTCATTCTGATCTAGAAATATGAACAAAGAGCGTAAGCTGAGAAAGAGTTTATGTCTCATAGCTCTTCTAATTATTTTGTTACGCAATAATTATGTTAATTGAAATAAAATTTATTTAAGTATTTTATATATTTATATTTATGTCTATTTGCAGAACATAAAATATGACAATAACAATAATTGATAATTATTATTTATTTATCAATAAATATCATTAAATAATAATTATTAATAATTATTAACTTTCCGAACTATTATTATTTATTGTTATAATTATATTATAGTTATTAAATTTTTTAGTAATAAATAAATACTCGTTATATATTTATGAGATCTAAATCCACAATTTTGGAGAAGAGAATCAGAAATATTAACAAAAATGTATATCCGCCACTGATTCAAATTCGAGCTTTCTCTCGATTTTTATCGGCCATCTTTTGATCCGTGGCGAGTGTCACTTAGTTTCATATCGCAAAAAAAAAAAAAAAAAAGAACGCACATATGCAAGGGAGCAGCAGAGAGCGATGCGTCGCAGTGCGCCACGATGCTCGTGGTGGAGAGCTAAGCGTATCCGGTGTTCTTAACATTCGTGTTTTTCCTTAACATCCAGGTGCAGCCAAAGAACTACCCCTAGCGCCCAGTGTTAATCGCGGACCGTGTGTAACGCGTAGATATTTATAGTATATAAATGTAATTCTGTGTACATGTTGTTTCACTAATATTATGCGCGAGGCGAGCGTATTGGTAGTCACACAGTGGGACAAGATCCGCAAAAGAAGATCTGAGTTTGCAGCTCAGCTTTGAGATTTTGGTATTTTTTCCAATCGCTAAATGTATATAAATAATATGCAAATTAAAAACTTGCACATACTTTTTCAAAGGTCGTAAAAGAGATGCGAAAGAAATTGGTGCACTTTGCAACAATTACAAATTTATGCAAACATTCGTCGTTGATTTGTTTTTATATAAAATTTTTATATAATATTTCTCATCCCCGTTAAATTCCAAATTTATAGTCTATGGATCTTTCCTGTTGGAGTCACGTGATGCCATTCGAATCATTCGATATCCAAAGATTTAACAAGGGTGGACAAAACATTTGGAAAATTTGGAAAACCAATGATGCGAGAATTAGACTTATTAATCCGCGCATTGTCGATATTTTCGCAAATTTTAATGTTCTGTTGTAAACAAATCGACGGGAGTGGAGGGACATATTCCGTATTGGTTCGCCTTGTGTCCGCGTAATATTTGTAGATTGTTTGTGAGGGTACCAGAAAAAAAAAAAAGAGGAGAAATCGCAATTACACGAATCTTTTTATTCTGTTTTCGATCTCGTTCCGATTGTAAATAATAATTCCATGCGCATTAGGATGAACGAACCTTTGTCATGATATGACAACACGTGTGAATGTATACGTCTGTTGTGTGTGAGAGAGAGAGAGTGTGTGTGTGACAAAAAAGGCGACAAAGACACTCGATATAGTTGTATCATATACCGCGATAGTATTATGAGTCTTGCTGCAGGACGGTGTAACTTGTGTACATAAACAAAAAGAATCTTTTATGGTAGCGAGTAGTTCAGCGCCGTTTCTTCGATGTAGCACGACGAAAATAAATGAATTTTCATTAATCGGCTCCGATCACTCACTCGCCTACTACTTTTCGCATTTCTTATCAATCTATTTCCACTATTATTTATATTCTTTGTATCTTCTCGTTTATAAATAAATTATTTATCATTATTGAGAACCGTTTTTCACTCAGATTATAAAAATATGTCTTCTCTCGCAAGCCCTCGACACAAGATAGACGCCGTGAAGATTATTACAAGAATCAATGCGAAGAATTCTTCTCGTTGCAAAAACATTCTTTCCAATTAACATTAATGTTACACCAATGAACGATACGATTGGTTCTATGTCGTTTATAAATATTGATATAGTTGCAATAAAATATGAGTATCTCTTTCATAAGCAAGATAACAAATATCAATTTGATATGAGAGATTTTACAGATATAAAAGAAAACGATTAGCGATGACAGGACAAATAATCTTTCTGACGATTCTCGCGCCGCAAGGAGGAGCGTGAATTTCACTGTGCCGATATCGTTCTTTGTACGACGAAAGGCTCGTAAGGGGCTTTCGTGTCTTTTGCATTCATTTCGCGTATGACTCGAGAGCACCCTTCCTCCACCCAGCATACGCTCTCGCCATACCGTCTACACATACACACGCAGGCTTCATCACACACTCCCAACTGCCGTGTAATTCTGTTATACCCATCTGAAATTAAATAAATTCATTTCACGGCCTGTCAGCGAGCAATTATTTTCAGATGCGGCTTTAAGGCCTCGGTTCGTTCCATGACTAACACCTTCTTTTCTTTTCTCTCTCTCTCTCTCTCTTTTGCTCTCGCTTTCTTCTTCTCGACCTCTTGGTCCAGCACCGGGAGCACGTCGAGCTATCGTCGTATCGCCGCAATCCTCTTCGTCGTGGCGAGATGGTTATTCCGCGTCGGGTCGCCTCAACTGTTGTGCGCGCGATCGAACGCAACCGCGACGACACGCGACGCCCTTCAGCCTTGGAACGAGGCGAGATATAAATCGTTAAACCGGATGCACCAATAATGAAGAGCGTTTTACGACGGGTATGATGACACTTGGTCACAACAGTTAATTTAGTTAGAGAAACGCGATGGTTAATGGGCGATAAGAAACCGACGCAATATCCATTACTCAATTACAAACTTTTCCACTCAGCATTGTATTTTAATGTATTTCACGTTTTGCAAGCAAATGATATAAAGTATGTATTAAGAATCTGATTACAAATATAGGACTTTGACGTGGCAGTTAAAAGTAATAATAATCAGTTTTGTCGAATGGAATTCACAAGCAAAAAGATTCCAAATCTCCTCTTGAATTCAAAAGATAACGATATCAACTTTTCTTACGTCTCTTAGACGTGCAAATTTCAAATCTATTTTATTATATAAAAATATTAAATGTTAAATGTCTCTCTACATTTGCATCAAACGAGCGATCGCGCCTTTTAAAGATCCGTTGATTCGCGAGGGAGACCGCGGCGGCAAAGTAGAAGGAATTCACGGTCGGGAGAAACGCGAGAGAAGCAGAAGACGTCGTAAGCAAGAAGAAGAAGAAGAAGAAGAAGAAGAAGAAGACGACGACGACGACGACGAAGGTTTCACCGGGGCGCGAAAGCGATCGTGTGTTACGTCGTGATGGGTGGAGCGAGGTGAGAGAAACAGAGAGGCGGCTCCCGAGCTTGTAATTATGTTGATACGAATGATCTGCGGCGAGCCGCAGACCGACGAAGAGCAACAGGGAGAAGACGAAGAAGAAGAAGAAGAGTACGAGCAGGGGGGGGAGAGGAAGGAGGAGAGGACGAAGCCTCTAGCGATGCTTACCGACCGCTCTATACGCGCTCTATACGCTTCCCACATTTCTTCTCTCTCCGCTTCATCGATACTTTCCCTCCCCTCGTTTTCCTCTCTCCACTTCGCCCACCGCTCTCTGTGTACGCGCTCTCTCTCTCTCTCTCTCTCTCTCTGTGCACCCACCCGCGCGTATTTCTCATCCCCGTGCGGCGGAAAAGAAAAAGAGAGATAGCGGGGACGACCAGGCTTTAGGACCGTGGCGAAACCAGTTTAAGTGGTTAAGTGTAGATGTAATTGATTTCCATTTTACGAGGCTCTCGGGGAAGACGCTCCTCCACCCGCTGCGCTGCACCCACCCCCGAGCGCTTGCAGACCGTCCTGCCTCCTCCTCCCCCCTCCTCATTCTCTCTCTCTCTTTCCTTTTCTCTCTGCACCTCCCGCCCCCTTCTGCCCTATCTTTTCGTCTCATTCTCCGTATATTTCTGTTCTCTTTCTCCTCGCAGTGGCCGCACACGCGTGCGACGCATACGCGCGCGCATGCACCGAACGCATAAATACGCATTATAATGTATCGGCGGGTGCTCTCGACGAGAGAGAGCGGCCTTGCCGAGCATAATCGTTTTCTCACGCCTCGTTCCGCGATGATTTCGGCGGGCACGATGGAGGTGAGGTATTAACCCGCGCCCACCTCCTTGCCGCCCGTCGTGCGTGCTTCGCGCGGGAGAGGCGCGTTTCGATCCTGCCGCGTTTTGCAAAGTGCGGAAGGGTTAATCGGCGAGATTGCCGATGATTAACCGCGATAAAATCGCGATGAGACCGACGTAACGTGAAGCCCACGATGAAATTAACAGCCATTTCCTATTTATAAAAATTCGATAAACCTTGCGAAATCTTTATTTACGTTATTTAACGGCGAAGAGAGATTGCGGAAGAGTTAAAAATTGAAAATAATTATAAAATGATTAAACACGACTGGAATATAAAAATCGATATGTATAGGATCGCAACGTTAACACGAAATAAAAGCGTGCGCGTTGACGCGAAAAAGATTGCGAGCCACGTGGTTGATCGATGAACATTGAAAGCGTTTAGAGTCGGAACGAAGGCCGGACGGTGCGACGTGCAATTACGAGCGCAGTGATAAAAGTTGGTAACGAATTAGCGGTTTGTAAGAATAACTCTCGCCGCTTCTGACAGCTCCGAGGCGGAGAAAGCGCGAGAGAGGGAGCGGAGGCCTTACGAGTTGCTCGTTTCGCGTCGCTACAAGTTGTTCTTCAGGGGCGAACAAATTTACGATCGATACCTTAATTGCAATCGAACGGGCTATTTCGAGGGCCAGCAAAGGTTAATGCACCATTAAGAAGCGCGTTACGGAAAGACGGCGTCTATGCTCGTTGTTGTCCATTCCTCGAAACGATCGAATTATTCGATTATCGAATTTTTCCATCCCAATTATTCGTTCCGACTCCCGATCCGCGATCCAACAAGATTACAATTTCGACGAATGCAATTTCAAAAAACCGCCCAAGCGGGAGAACAAAATCGAATCATCGAGGTATGAAATAAGCAATTCCCCGCATCGCGCTTTATCTCACTCATTCGCCCGATTTTCGGCAGCGTTTCAGCTCGTTCGCGACTTCGTCCTTTATTTCACGCGAAATAACTCGGTAGCCGCGCCAACGCCGGACAAGAAAAGGAAAAAATTCCAGGCGGGAGTCATAAGAAAACAATGCACCTCG